GATTTCCAATTTATTTATCAATTGTAGGACGGTCGATCGAATTTATTTAAACTTACCTTATATAACTCGCAAAAATTTTCGATGAGCTCGTTTATGACTTTATGTACCGTATTTTTCGATTTTATATTTTAATATATTTAATTTAAAATGTTCGCAAAGACTTGCTCATGACCTCGTATTTTTTTGATATATCTATTTTCAAGATGTATTTTTATATATTTAATTTAATATGTATTTTACATGAGCCTCCATCTCCGATTCTTCTCTATAAATGTCTTTTCGTGTTACGTAAGCAGAGTTGTACCGTAACGAATTCTGTAACATAAATTAGAGATCGTTTGATCGTTTGGGCTCTACAACTTAATGTTGAGCGAAATTTTCTAAATGATACGCAACGCTTGCGATAACGCGCCGCTCAACGCTTCTGGCGCGACGTGATTTAATACCAGAAAACGCGTAATCGTATTCTTATTCGTGTAATTGCAACGCAACCCGTTACGTTTTCCTGCGCAATCGTAACGAGACCGCGAATATACGAGAAGGCTCATGCGAAAGTCTTTCGACGGTGTAACGCGGGCGATCGCATCACGCAAGAGGGATAATCGTGGCCGATGTAACGACCAGCCGTAGATAATCACGTTGCCGTCAAGACGAAACCTTTCACCGTTCTTACCGATAATTATGCGCTCCTTTAACATCCCTCGGACAATTGCCAAACTGAATACGGAACTGGAATAAGGAAGGGAGCGACGTGACATTAACGTCGACAGTAAAGCACTTTATAGCTACCGAGAGCACAAAGCATATCGCCATATTGTAGCCGCCATAATGAGAGCCAAAAGCGCTTGTCTAACATTAACCGAGGTAGCTCTGTATAAAAACTCATATTTAACTAACGAAAAAATTAAACTTAAATATTAATGGCGATAATAATTAAATAAGAGGAATGAGTTTTTTTCTTAAATTTTTTCGAAGAAAGAACGAATTCCAAAGCGAAGAATTTCACTTTATATGAAAGTTGTAATGTTTGAAATATTTGGAAAACAATAAGTAAACAAATTAAATCGCTTCTCTCTCTCTCTCTGTCTCTCTCTCTCTCTCTCTCTCTAC